CAGTGAAGGCAGATCAGTTTAGTGTGTCCCTGAAGGATGTTAATCCTTGGAGTAACTGAGTTGCAGACAAAGAGGGATTAGAGATGCTAATGTATCCTCACATCCCAAATAATTTGGTTTTGAATTGAAATTTAATTGGGTTTTTATTGTACTTAAGTGTATCAGTGATGTTCCAAATGTACTATTAATCTGACTATTAATTAGAAAAGTTCTTTCTAAAACATAATATTAGTGGATAAATTGTCTTACATTGTCATAGATATTGGCTAAATACCTTAAAAGTTCTGTATTCTTGCTATTTTCAGTCCCTCAGGAAAGAAGTAGTTGGGTTAATTAAAATTACATATTTTAATGGTCCATGAAGTGAATGATGTGGTGTGTTCTTGGATCTAAGAGAGAACATTGAATTGAAAATACCTACTAGATTTAAGGATATCCATTGTGCTTTAAAATTCAGAGTGATTCATCTTCCATCACTCTGTCTAAATATCAAATGCAAAGTGAGTCAAATGTAAGTGAACTGGATTGTCTGTACAATCAGTTCCAGACACAGCTCCAGGAGCTGAAAAGTGACAGGAAAAGATTGGGCTTGATCAGAGACTGCCTTTTCTGGCCTTGAAATCCATTAAAATGATGAGAGCAGTGGTCATCCTCCTACAAATGGAGAACAAAGTCCATGCAAGTGGACATAGAGGAGATGAGTTTAGAGGACATAGCAGTAAAGATTTAGGAAAAAGGTTTTAAGGAAAGGCAAGACTAAACAGCCATTTGTGTGAAGCTTTTAGAATTCTGAGTAGAATTTTTAATGCATATTTGTATAGTGAGTGTGCAGGACAAAAATGGTTTACAAATAACTTCCCACGTTCTGATAATATCAAACAGAGGTTAATACTGAAATGAACATGTTCAGTTATGGAGAATGGTTTTTAAAGTGCTATTAACAAAATGCAATGTTTTAAGAGATGTGGTAAATAATCAATGTGATTAATAAAATAGGAGGAATATAGACAGTGAGAAACCAACAATCCAGGACCAGATTAAGGTCATTATTCCTAAAATTTGACTATTCAGATACATACTGGTATGGAAAGTGAGTGATCCTACACTATTTGGTGAATTTCTTGACAAATCCAAGGGAGATAAAATTGCAGATCTTTGCATCCTGAAGGGTTTGCTTTTGTTTCTTAACAAGACAACATCCATGATGAAAGGAATAAAAACCTGCTTACATAATTTAAATATACCTTATTAACAATTATGGGTTGTTCAAGTCTATCATATCATCATTTAGTATAATCCTCACTCTTTTATGTGGAATGTACAACTCAGTTTGGGTCTATATATTATTATAATTTAGGAGAGCTTCATAACAGTGCTTTTTCTCTAATTATGAGGAGAGCACTCTAAAATACTTCCATTATGTCATGGATCACTTGTTCTGTCTTTTTAATCATGGACATGTAGAACAAAAGGAAAAATCTGAAAGAAATGCATTAATTAGACTGTAGCTTTATTAACTTCTTCCATTTGGGAACTGCTCAGGAGTGGTGCATCCAATCAATTTGTCATTGTTGTGGTAATTATTTCCAGGTGTTTGGTGTATTGTGAGCATCCCCTACTGATCACAGCTGTTCTCTGGATTGCTGCTCGGTTCCCATCTTCTATCTCTTAATAAACACTTCAAGGCTTTAGAAAAAATGACGTTTCCTCTGTCTATTAACCATTGAAAGCCTTGGTTCAATGCTTTCCTCACAGGTAGATGTTTTACCTTAAGTCTGCTCATGAAATTCCAGCAGCTTTTTTTGGTGACCTTTGCAATCATCTGTTGATAGATGTTTGCAGTTCTTAAGCTCTGGTGGGATTGTTGGGGTGTCCTGTGTAGGGCCAGGAGCTGGACGCAGTGATTCCTACAGTTCCAACCCAGGATATTCTGGGATTCCATGAGTATTTCTCATAGCTGCAAACTGTCCTAGAAACCTGCAGTTCTTATCATTTGTACTCCAGAAGCAGAATTGTTTCATGGGGCTGCTGTAATGATTATAGAAATTGATATTGTGTGCCATTAGAAGGGACTGAAGTATTGCCTTTAGTCTGTCAGGACTCCACAAAAATGCACAAAGCCAAAAAGGGACAACAGGGACAAGAGTGGAAGAAGAACACAGTGAAACTGAAGGACAAATGGGTCATGAGAAGAAATGGATTTAAATTATCTACAAATACAGGCAGTATGGCATTAAAGTGTCCAATGAAAAGAACCTGTCAGATTCTGAAGTGAGTTTCCCACTTCACATAGGATTAATTGGGGTTAAATATCTGAGTTGTTTCGAAGATGGAAGCTTGATAAGTTTATGAGTGTAGCTATTATCATATTAAGATTATTATTAATTATATTATCACTTGACTGACTGCAGTGGCAAGGAAGCAGACCTGATGGCTTCAGATGTCTGTGTTTCTTGTGTTGACCCAATTTTCACTGAAAGTAATTTAATACAGATTATAGAACAACTTGAAATGCATTTGGAAAGACATGGATAACTAAATGTAGGGTTGATTTTTTTCCAGATAAAAAGGTTTCTCTAAAGAATAATTGGGCTAGCCGAAGCTCCACTGATACCTTTAGCCTAAGAGTAGTTTGATACCACTGCCGTAAAAGGGTTAAAATATGTTAATTGGCACTGAGACAGACAAGCCTTCCTCCCCATAACTGCTAATTTCTTTGGTTATTAGTTTCTAAATTATGAACTACTAGATCTTGTTACGTTTTAAACACCTAGGTTTCTATACTCATACTTTTTTGGTTTGCTTATTTGATTATGTCTGTTTAGTAATTTTTACTTAATCATTTTGGTGTTTCATTTCACCTAATGTGACCTTTCTAAGATTAAATATCTAATCCAAGCTCTTTTAATTTTTTTTGTTTGTTTGTTTTTGTTTCCTTTTGACCCTCTGTGCATTTTTCCTCTGCTATTGAGTGCTGATTTTTAAATCTTTTTGCAAGGGATGTCTTCTTGGATATTCAAGTCTAAGATGATTTTCCTTCTTGCTTTCCTGGTGCCACTGGCCAATTATCAAATATCACCTCTTTCTTTCATAGTCCAATATAAACATTTATCTGAAGCTACACTGCTGATTTGGCAGAAAATGGTAAAATCTCTTCAGTACCAAAATGAAAGTTAAACAATTTTCAGGCATCCGATTCCAAAATTGAAAGCTTGCTTTGGCTGCTACTTCAGCTTGGATTTCTCTAAAATTCAGTACTTTCACTTACAAGGGTTTTGCTGCTGAATGCTTGGAATCACTTCCATCTCATCTGAATCCTACTTAGAGCTTAAATAAGGGAAAGCCTTGCTGGGATTTCCTGTGGTTGTTTGTGTCCCCTTGGGTTCAATCAGCTCAGTATGCTCCAAGAGAGCATTTTGGAGCAATCTCTTATCCCAGTACTCTGGGATTGTTGGTTTCTCTCAATAAATAATTGGAGGGATGATGATGTCTTACAATGTTACACTGGTTAGATGAAGCCAGTCCTGCACTGGAATCAAATTCCCAGTTAGGAAACTCACGTCCAACCCTTGCTCACATGCTGGGCTCTCAGCTGTTCTGTGCTCGCTCTCAATATCTCCTCTTACATGAAATATTTGAGTCATTGACTACTACTACTACTACTACTACTACTACTACTACTACTATTACTACTAGTAGTAGTAGTGAAGTTTTATTCCTAATTTGTAGCAGACTCTCAGCCAAGAGTTGTGGATAAATTTTTCAAGCAACTGTTTGAATGAAAGTATGTGTTAGAAAATGTCTTTGTGGCTTCAGAATTCCTTGCTCCTAGCTTCAGTGATTTTTGGGAAAAATGCATGGGAAGGTAGGGACAGCAAACTGTAGTCCTCCTCCAGAAACCTTGTTTTCTTTTTTACCTTGAATTTCAGCTCTGTGATGCTGAACAATATAGCATTTAAGTGTGTTTAGAAATTTGGTTTGTTCTCCTGTTATCTAGCAATGATTGTTTGTTAATTGTCTCCTAAGAAATTTGTAGAGAATTTTGCCAACCCTATGGAAAGCTAAGAAGAATATATAGCTTTAGAAATGAGCCATTTGAATTGTATTTTTAAATTTTATATTATCAGCTTATCATCCAAGATACTCTGCTTGCAAATTATAATTTGAAGGCACAGTCCTAATGGTAAATGTAATAAGGAAAGTAGTTCAGATGGGAATTAATCACTGTGGCTGTCTTAAATCTTTCCCCCACTATTTGCATTGTCTTATGGAAAGTTTTGCCATGTGGGATTTTTTTTAATGTTGTTGTAATGGTCTTAAAAGCAATGTAAATATGCTTTGATTTCACATTAGAAGTACTTTCTTTTTGAGATTCTGCACTGGAGACAAACAGGATTTTTTTTTTAACAACAGCAAAAGTTGGGTTAATGTAAAATCACTTTCTTTTTGAGATTCTGCACTGGAGACAAACAGGATTTTTTTTAACAACAGCAAAGGTTGGGTTAATATAAAATCTGTGAATCATAGTTACTCTGGGAGAGGTGGGGTTGTTCAGCCTGGAGAAGAGGAGACTCCAGGGGGACCTTCCAGTGCCTAAAGGGACTCCAGGAGAGCTGGAAAGGGACTTGGGACACAGCATGGAGTGACAGGATAAGAGGGAATGGCTTCAAACTGCCAGGGAGCAGGATTGGATGGGATATTGGGAAGGAATTCTTGCCTGTGAGGGTGGTGAGGCCCTGGAAAGGTTGCCCAGGGAAGCTGTGGCTGCCCCTGGATCCCTGGAAATGTCCAAGGCGAAGTTAGATGGGGCTTGGATTGCCCAGGGACAGTGGAAAGTGTCCCTGGAGTGGAACTGGATGAGCTTCAAGTCCCCTTCCAACCCAAGGCTTTTGTGTTTCTCTGTTTTTTTTCCCAGCAGCACTTAGTTTATATACTTTGTGGAAAAACCAAACCCACAAGGCTGAACGCTAACCTGAGCGCCGTTTGTGTTCCTCTCCCAGGAGAGACGATGCGGATCGCCTCGTCGGAGTTCGCGGACGACCCCTGCTCCTCGGTGAAGAGGGGCACCATGGTGCGCGCCGCCCGCGCCCTGCTCTCGGCCGTCACTCGCCTGCTCATCCTGGCTGACATGGCTGATGTCATGAGGCTCCTCTCACACCTCAAAATCGTAGGCGTTTTTCACCTTCTCTCTTGGGTTTGTGTGTTTTGTGCGTGGAAAAACGGGATAAATCAGTTAGGAAGGTGACTGTCCACTGTCCTGACTCTCCACTTGGTTCTCTTGAAGTGCTGATCAGGGGTAGGAGTTAACACATTTCTGCATTAGTCTCATTCATTTTCTAATTCTGCAGAAATTAATATTTGAACACTTAAAGCAAAATTTGTGAACTATGAGTCTTGTGAGTCTTCAGTGACTGGACTAATACTGCTGTTAAACAGCTCTCTGATCTGAAGTATTTGCTCCCCTCTCCCCTTACATCTTATCCAAGTCACTTTCCCAGTATTTTTGTTTTCTGGCACAGTTTAGACACTATGGTTGTCTACTCTTTTTTTTCTCTTTGTGACTTCTGAATATATCTAAAGATCAAATGTTTAATTTGGAGAGAGACAATTGTACAATGGTCTAATCAAAGATCAAAGGGGAATTACAGATTACCAGATAGTTTGGACAGACTTATATTCACTTTTGACCGCCACCATTCACATTTTTATGCAGGAGTATTAAGAAGATTTTCAGTTGAAAATAGGAAATGCATTTTTCCACCTTCCCTAGCTGTTGCACTGTTACATTTTTATTGCGGAAACAAATAATCAAAAACCTCTGAAACAAAATAAAATTGTGCAAAAAATCATATACAGAATATTTAAAGCCTGCAGAATGCATGTGTGAATTCAACAGAGGAGATGGAGAGTTGCTTCTTTTTAGCAACTGTTCAAAAAGTGTTTTGGGGATTTTTTTCCATTATTTATTTATTTATTTATTTATTTTAATTTATCTTTTTGACAGTGTAGCTGTACAACAAAAGCATGTTCTGGAAAAACAGAACCCTTCAATTTGCAAACTCTGCAGATAACCTGAATAGCTGGAAAACAGTTTTCGTAAGGAAAGAGGCCGATTTTTCAGCACAGGTTCTAGTGAGCTCTGCTTTAATGGATAAAATGCTGCTCTCAGAATTGTCAGCATGTGGCTCTGGTTACGTGCAGTGTAAGCAGTGTCTCTCTCCAATATGCTTTACATTTTTCCTCTCTATAATGCTCCATGTAACTGTAAATCAAATTGTCCTTTCCTAGCAAGGCCAACACTTGAATATCATAAACAACAGGTTTTTTCTGAACATTGTGATGAAAATTTGTACTCAAGCTCTTTCATGGACAATGAGAAATTCTGTTCTCCCATCTGAGAGTTCTTTTGAAGCAGAGTACACTGTTATGTAAAATACAAATGTCCCGTGCTGGTTTTTAAGTGGCTGTATTTACTTGCACAGCTTGCTCCCCAGATTTGCAAGGGCCATGTCTGGCAGTGTGGTTTGTAATCTCTGCATTTATCTAATGGTATTACAAGTTCAGTTTCAGAAGTCAGTGATCTTTGGTTCTTTTCAGCAAAATTCAACATAAGGGCCTTAACTGTGACTTCTATTTTCATGTTAAAAAGGGTAATTTATTTCTGAGGATCGGACATGTAAATGTCCTTATTTTACCACTTTACAGTGCTAACTGCTTTTAGACAAATTACTAGGGGGAAAAGTGGTTGTATTATACAAAATTGATGGAGGAAAAGCTCTTCTATTGACTCAAAGGTAACCTTCAAAGACTTGTGTAAGTTACCCATAAAATTAATGAACTAAAATAATTCTGCATGTCAGAGTAATGAAGCCTGATTTATGCTGAATTGTACCGTAATCAGTTTTCTCTGAAAGCATGTCAAAGGCTTCCCAGGAAATGGTGCATTTTAATTAGTGTTTTAGAGGGAATATATGCAGGTGCTTTCTGGAAGCACTCTTGGTCATTGCATTCAGGTTATCTTTTAAACTGCTAAAATTAGAAATAGTGGTTATTGCAGAAGACATTTTTTGTCTTTTATAACATATTAAAAAACCGTACCATTATAGTATGTAGTCATGCACACAGAGAATTATAGATCTATTGTAATTAACTCCAGGCTGGTTAATCAGAGGAACAGATCAGTTGAAGTTGAATGTTGTCTCAATGATGGAGAACTTGCTCCAGTATGAAGTTGTAAAAAAGAAATTGTAATAATAAAAGTGTCCTTAAAAAGGAGCCTGTGCTCCTGTCCTTTCTAGTACTTCTCATAACTGATTTCTTGATTTTGGAATCTGTGGTCTTGAGCCCTGATTGACATGATGGAGTGTGATCAGCATCCTTTGAAATCTGATTATTAGAGTGGAATCTCTGGCAAAATTTTCAGGATTTCTATTTGATATGGAGCAGGACATAGAAAAATGTGTATCAGTTTGTCATGCCGCTTGGCAATACAAACATAATAAAGATGAAACTTCCAGATATTTTAATGAAAATGTTTCGTGATAAAAAAAGGAAAATGGGCATATTTTGCAAGAAGTTCTGCAAGAGCAAATTATTTAATACATTGATGCTTTTGCAATTTGTGTTAATGGTAAGGCAGTCAGTTCATTTTTTAAAAACTCTGTTCTCCTTAAGAGTAGAGGAAGAGGTAACTTGGATTCTGAATAAGCTTGTAGCTTGTAAATTGACAGAATTTGGTTTATAATTTCCAGCATAATAGCTATGAATTTATGTTCCTGAATTATGCATTTTCCAATAGAAATGTATGAGTTTGCTACTCCACTGCCCTGTAATTTGTAAATCTGCAGTAAGTAGGTAAAAGCTCAAAATGAAAATATACTCTCTCAGTGGTAGGAAAACACAGAGCAACTCAAGCAATAAAAAGACAGGTTCTGCACATAATTGTGCCTTTCTAAACGATTAGACACCAGCTACTGCTGAATGTATCAATTTCCAACAGTGTCTGGAGAGCTGCAAACCCCTGCTTGTCCCCATGCCAATAAGCCCTTGCCTTTTGAGGGGAAAATTTTTTTATGCATGTTCTTATGAACTGTAGATATTAGCTGAACAACAGCTTTTAGCAAGAAGGATCAGTAGCATCTTTTCAGTTCTCAATGTTTTTGCTTGGAATTGCATTTGTATGTTGTGAGGGAGAGAAGTACAACTTTGAATTTCCATGTAGTCACAGTAATGTTTCCTTTACTTATTGCATGAAAAGAGCATTTTATCCCTTCAGATATTTTTCTTGCTTTGCATAAGGTAAAGGTTCACAATACATTTGGTGGATCAACTTGTTGGTATAACTGGGGGTTTATATTTTTGTCTGTTAGCTGCAGCATCACTGCATAAGTGCAGGTGTGGGTTTCTGGGTAGATTCTTTTCTCAGTGTTAAATAACTAAAGAATGAAAGCTCAGAACTGAGAAAAAAAGAAATAATGCAAATATTCTGGGTGGAAGCTGTCATGTGTTTCACAAAGATAGAGTGTTTTGGATTTTTCAGGGTAAATTTAAACCTTAATGGTAAGTTTGAATTTCCTTTTTAAATATTTCTTGTCCAGAAGTGATAACTTTCTTTGTTTTCCCACAAAGCCTGTGCCACACTTTAAGAACATACTCATGTATTTTGTTTTGAACCCCATAGATATTAAATATTTAATCAGATAAGTGTGGGCGGGGAAATTAAAACAGTGATATCTTTGACATTATCTTTACATGATCCCAAAGCACAGTAAATGGACAGTAATGCAGAGTGACAGCTGCTCTATTAAAAACCTAATTAAAGTTCATGGGACTCTCATAAAGCTTCTGTACAGTGATGGATGTGAAACCTAAATTGGGTCCATGTAAGACAGAGTATTGGGTAGAACACTCACAGACTTTGTCAAAGAATGGATTAAAATGCTGACAGAGCTGATTTATTGTGTTGTAGGTAGAGGAGGCACTAGAAGCTGTGAAAAATGCAACAAACGAGCAAGATTTAGCCAATCGCTTTAAGGAATTTGGGAAGGAAATGGTTAAACTGAACTATGTCGCTGCGAGGCGACAACAGGTGAGTACAGGAGGGGTTGGAAAAGTCCATCTTCATTCTACAGTTCTCTTGTTTTATATCCAAGTCTGGTTTAAAATGTACAATGAACCACTAATTGCTATGTCATGGCCTGTAGTTTAATTACACTGATTATTTTTGAATGTGATGAAGTTTTTCAGAAGGGCCATTTCTTTAAGAGTACCTTCCAAGAGGCTTCAATTATTAACAGATTGAAGGGTGAAAAGGGAAGTGATTCAAGAGGTTAAGGATAGTTTTAATTCGATGATTATTCCCATTTAATTCTAACCTATGCAGATTTCAGGTCACTCTGACAGCTGGTAAAGCACGAGCTCTTTGCTAGTTCAGTATAATTCAAGTTCAGGAGGAACAGAAATCTACTTTGTGCTTCAAACCATTATTAATAATTTTCCGATTTTTTTTAAAAAAAGTATTCATTTATCCATTTATTCATTGCTAAGGCAGCTGAAAAAGAGACCAGAAAATCATAATAACATTTATTCAAGGCTGGTCATTATGCAGCTTTGCAATAAAGATAGCTTTCCCCTGAACTGTGCTCTTTTCAAGACACTGTAGAGTTGTATAAGGTCTCTCCAACTTCAATTATATTTGAATGCCACCAATAATTCAAGGATGTGCCGTCTTTGTACTGCATTGAACACTGGATTTGGAAAGCTGGCTTTCCATATCCATCCACCTATTTACCTTATTTTCTGAATTGCAGTAATGACAATTTTCTTCTGAATCATGATTATGGGGCTTTTTTATGAAAAATAGCATTTTAAGAGTTATACTAAAATTGAATCATTGAATATCTCAAGTTGGAAGAGACCTGTAAGGATCATCAAGCTCATCTCCCTGCTCCTTGCTGGACCACAAAAAGCAAACCATCTGACTAAGGCAAATAAACTAAAATGTATAATCTAAGCACTTTACAGAGAATGCCCTTCTGTACATTCAGACACTTCCCCTGTGGAAATAGAGCTGCAAATATGGGAAAAAGAGAAAAATATGAAAGTTAATGGGTGCTTGTATCTCTTAAGTTCTCATTGAAGACACAAGAATATGGCAAAAATTCTTTCTGAAGACTGTTACCTGTCAGCCACATGTGGTTGAAATTAATCAAAGGGTAGAACCTTTAAATCCAGAATATCTGGGTCCTTTTTCAGTGGTGGTGATGGATTCCATGTGTGGACATAAATAAACTATTTAGTTCTCCAGACTGGTTTGTTCATAGTTTTAAAGTAGAAGTAACAGTATTGTTTTATTCCTAATGAATATTATAAGGGCTATCTTAATGTTTGTAAGGCTTTCAAGGACAATATGATTATACACTATAACTGAAAAGAAAAATCAGGGGTTAAATAATAGTAATACTAAATTCTGATAACATATTGTGCAGTATCTGATTCTTGTCAGAGGAAACAAAAGAAAGTCATCTGTCATATTCTAAATGTGAAAACTCTAACTGATATGAGGAAGAGAGCAAAATATGAAGGGAAGCAAAATAGAAATATTGAGAGGCATATTTATTAGGTCTTTAAGAGCTAAAACCATGTGGTGTTAGGTCATAGGTTGGACTGAATGATCTCAAAGCTCTTTTCCAAACTGGTTAATTCTTTGATTCTATGATTCTCTGATATTCATCTATGTAATACTTCTAGTTTGATTTTTTTAAAGGTCTGCCTTATGATAATTTTATAAAGGACATGGGTGTAGTGATTAGAAGGACAAGGCACTTGCTGCAACAGGAGTATTGCCATTATGGAATCAGCAGAAGGAATCCAGTTGTTCGGGAAGAGTAATTTTGAATGTTTTATGTACATTTGTAATGGGTTTTTGCAACAGGGAAGTGACTCTTAGGTAAGATATTGTGAGCAGAATGTAAGAGCTGTGGTGACACAGAAGGACTTCCTTGGCAGGAGGGGAATTCTTTTAGTGATTTGTGGTGGGTTCTGCCATGGATTCCATCTCTGCATGGCGTCCATACCCAGATGCTCAAGGCAATGCATTTTGACACAGACCCTTTCGCTTCCAACTCTGAAAGCTGTGTGTTCTCATCCAGGAGCTGAAGGATCCTCACTGCAGGGACGAGATGGCCGCGGCCCGCGGGGCTCTGAAGAAGAACGCCACCATGCTGTACACGGCCTCGCAGGCCTTCCTGCGCCACCCCGACGTGGCGGCCACGAGGGCCAACAGGGACTACGTCTTCAAGCAAGTGCAGGAGGCAATTGCTGGCATCTCCAATGCTGCCCAGGCCACCTCGCCCACCGATGAGAACAAGGGCCACACTGGCATAGGAGAGCTGGCTGCTGCTTTGAATGAGTTTGATGTGAGTATCAGCAGGGTGTGGACAATGAGGTGTTTCTCCACACCATCTACAGAGCTTTTAACTAAGTTGTTATACAGGACTCAAATTCCCCTTTTCTTTCACATCCATTTCCTCAGAGTGCAGAGGCAAAGGGCAGACATCGATTTGTGTTGGTTTTGGTGAGGAATAGTTGTTAGCTGCTAATGGACTGGAATTACAAGGAGTTATTTGTGCTCATATGAGTGGCTGGGATAGTGAGAAAAATAAGTTCTTGTTATCCTTAGGATCCTTGACAAATCTCACTACATGGTTCTAGAAAATGCAAAGTCTGATTAATCTGGCAGTTTAGTTATGTGGCCAAGATCTGAGGTTACTTGAGTGGTAAAATCATGTTTGTCTAGCAAGTCAGGAAGACAAGGCAAAAAAATTAAAATGGTGATGGAGCTCAGTGTCCTGGAAACATTAACATTCAACTTGAATCTTGAATTATGTTAATCAAAGGCATGGAAAAAGCATCTTTCAAACAGAGTTGATAGCAGTCAGTTCAGCTGTGGGCAAAGTGCTGCAGCCTCTCTTCCAGCAATAGATATGGTTTCGCTCAAGCAACTTTCCTGACAGCTAATTGTTTAGCTGTTAATTTCATTAGCAGTCCTGTCTGATGATTTCTCTCTATCTCACACATGAGGATTGTACTTCAGGCAGTGAACAAAAAGGTTATTGCAGACAGTCTCAGACAATATTTTCATCTTTCATTTTGACTTAAGGCAAAGACTTGTTGAAGCTATTATTGGGGAATGGTGTCCTTTTCACTTTGATTATGACACAAGGTTGCAATCCCAGCATGTGCCACATCAGGAGCTGCTCAGTCCTGCTGCATTTAGGGCTGGAAGTGGAGGTGTAGTGCAGGTGGTTCATCTCACAGCATGTTGGACTGGGCTTGTCTCCTCCATGTATTCTTACATCTGTGGTTTTTCCTGCACAATTACTGTGGGTTAAGATTTAAGGAATTCCTCAGGGTTTTCAGGGCCCTCTCAGCTCTCAGGTCCCTGGTTGGTAAGATCCTGAGAATAATATCCCTGTTTGGTCTGACTGTGCTCCTGCTTTTTTGTGGGACTTTGCACGTTATGGACAGCAAAGGTTTGACAAATAGGGACAGAAAACATGTGACTGCTCTGTCCCAAACTGATGATGCTGCTGCTGCCTTCTGGAAAAAAGGCTGTTGTTCAATGCAAAGAGAGGCGTTGTGCTTAGTGAAAATAAATGTAGTGAAGACTGTGCAAGACATCAGATATTGTCCCCTGCTTCTATGAGAATATTCATCCTTTTTCTCCTCAGGTAAAATCTTTTCCACTTTCTGTGATGTTGCAGGAGCCATGCATATGTGTGGGAGATGTGGAGCCATAGTAGCCTGTTCTGTTCATAATTATGTGTGGAAAAAACCAGCCTTTTTGGGGGAATTCTCTCTTTCTTCTTTTAGGAAACTAAATAAAAACTTTGACTTATGAGGATACAGACTGAAACAATTGTATTATTCATTTTCTAACTCACTGCTTAGCTGTTGAATGAGATTTATTCACACCGAATTTTGCAACAAAGATGACATTCCCTAACCTCCAGGGAAAGTCAAAATTTATGGCTGGTGATGGTGGGATGATTGTGAATTTAACTTTATGTTTTACAAGCAAGAAAACAAGCAATATTAGCAGACTAGTGAAACTATGTCATGAGTTAAAAGGTAGTGGACAAAAAACCCTTGCTTTTTATCGTGGCAGTATATTACTTCAGCAAGGGAAAGGAACCTTGTATTTTCTAATGAAAATAATCTTGCAGAATATTTATTTTACAGCCTCAGTCATATTAATTGAGATCAGTTTATATTTGGTAGGAAGTGCTTAGTAAACCCTGTTTATATGCCAAGATGATTATTCTGTGTTAAAAATAAGTTTACAGGTTTTTTTCCATTATTTTCACACTTCTCAGCCTTCATTATTTCATATTTTGGAATCAGTGTTCTGTGGCTTAGTGCTTCAAATAACTGCAGTGTGAATAAGTTCAACATTTTCTCAGTCAAAATATCTTCACATGGAATACAAATAATTATTCTATCTATTTGAAGCACAGCCATTGTGTTTAACTAGGTCTTTTGATAATTCTCACACTCTATACACTGGGGGGGTTGTGTAAAGTCACCTGTGAGTTATTAGCAGCAAAGTTTTGAAGATAGTTGTCATTTATTGCTTCTCAGAGATAATTTATGTAGAAATAAGGAGAGCTCACAAATCTGTTCCTTAGTAGATTTTTTCCTTTAAAGTCCTACTTGAAGTTGATTGATGACAAAAGAATGTGTTTAATGCCTTGTTGCTTGGTCCTTTCACTTCCATGTTGCTGCTTTACTCATAGATCATTTAAAAATAGGTATTCCTGGTCTTACTAGTAATTTATTATTAAAATTTGGCATGTATTTTATGCTCATGAAATATTTCTGAGTCCTTAATGCAAATGGAGGTGCACGGTTTATTGCCCCCTCATGATATTTGGCCAAATTTCTGGAAGCTGCATAGATAAATTTTTGAAGAACTTACTTTGAACTCTGAAAAGGCTCTGTTTTCACTCAGGAAATGGTGATTTTGATCTAGTAAGCTCTCATCTCTTCTGGTTATTGAGGGACTGCTTTATTGGCACAATTTAAACTGTGGGATGGATTTGTCTGGTGTCCTCCCCAGTGCCCTCATGATGTGCAGCAGAGACAGGACCTACACATCAAACTGGAGTGTGGTGGGGGGGTAGATAGAAAGGGAATGAAATTATTGAGTGAGAAGAAATGCAATGAGAAGGACCTGGAAACTGTGCTGGATGAAAACTGAGATGAAGATAAATGGCATTGACACTGGTGTGTGTTTGGTAACTGCAAAGTAAAAATATATGTGGATGTAAAAATATATATTTATATCTAGAAGTAAAGTAAAGGACTAACTTTGTTCAGAGAAAGGAGCAGAGCTGGGGAAGGGGCTGGAGCACCAGGAGCAGCTGAGGGAGCTGGAAAGGGGCTCAGCCTGGAGAAAAGGAAGCTCAGGGGTGACCTTGTGGCTCTGCACAACTCCTGACAGGAGGGGACAGCCGGGGGGGTCGGGCTGTGCTCCCAGGGAACAGGTATAGGACAAGGGGAAGTGGCCTCAGATTGTGCCAGGGAGGTTTAGATTGGATATGAAGGAAGTTTTCTTCACCCAAAGGCTTTTCCAGCCCTGGCACAGCTGCCCAGGGCAGTTTGGAGTCCCCAAGCCTGGGGGAATTTAAAAGCCATGGGGATGGTGGCATTTGGCTTATTGGTGGCCTTGGCAGGGCTGGAGTTGGACTTGATGATCTGAGAGAACTTCTCCAATCCAAACAATTCTGTGATTCCATGATTGTGCCACAGCAAAGGCTGCACACAGATTGTTGGGAAATGTGTTCTCCATGATGGAATAGAGAGGGGGCAGTGACGAGCAAAAATAGCATTTACTGGGCACTTGGGATCTCTGGTGAGTAGGAGGGTGCCTGCTCTCAGAATATGGACTGGGATTACAATTCCTGAGTCCTGAGGAGTGGAGCTGTGCCAGTGGGATGTGCTGACAACACCTCAGAAGTGCTAATCACAGTGGAAATTCACATTCTAGGGGTTTCAGACCTACAGTGCTCTACATTTTAGGAAATTCTAAATAATTTCATTTAGATTTTGATATGAAAAATGAGGGTAATCATTCTTGTACAGTGGTGGGAGGGTGGGTGTAATGGTATTGTAAATATAAAGCTGTTTACTATGCATGCACCATAAATCCATAAAAGGATTATTCCTGTGTTTGAAGCAAGGCTTGAATTATCTGCAATAAACTTAAATAGAATTTATAAATCCTCTGACTTAGAGAGGGGAGGAGAAGTTATCTAAAGGAAAAAAGGACCAAAACCCCTTTCCTCCACTGATGCCAAAAGCAAATATCTGTTGTTTTCTGTATTGCTCCAGAAGGAACTGATTAGATGGCTTGGCTGACTTTTCTCCCTGTCTTTTGTCTTTGTGTGTGCAAGTTCTGCCTCTAGCAATGCAATAAAATGATATTTTGTTTGTTAAAATAAATATATAGTGCTTTGTTTTGATATATGTTAATCCAAACAGGCAAGCCCTATAGCTGATGTTGTTTTATCTGATGTTTTATCATTTTTTTTTCTTTTTTAACATTGGATTTATTGTTTCTCTATATTTTGTCTTTAAAGTTGCACTCCAACAGCATTGGTACTTGTTACATCTTCAACTGCTGAGCCTGTGGGTCGCCCCTTTGCTCTCTGACTTCTGAGTATGAAAATAATCTGGTTTATAAAGGAATTTAAAGGAATATAAGGGGAAGTGGTCACAGCACCAAACCTGGCAGAGTTCAAGTAGCATTTGGACAATGCTCTGAGGCACAGGGTGGGACTCTTGGTATTGTCTTGGGAAGGGCCTAGAGTTGGACTGGTTGATCCCTGTGGGTCCCTTCCAGCTCAGAATGATCCTAGGATTTGATATGGTTTAGAATTGAAAGAGGTAGTTAAAATGATTTGTAGTGCTTGAGGTACTTATGTATTTGGGATACGTCCCAGGGTACTGAAATTGTACTGTTTTTTGTCATGAGCAGCATTTGAACTGAGAAATTACGGGCAGAGTAACTCAATCTTTAATGAATTTTTGAACAGAGCAAGTCAGCTATCTAGGAGATGACTACATTTGATGACAAAGAAAGTGTCTGGTGACACTGGTCACTGTCCTCCAGGCTGTTAAATGCAGCTCATAATTAATAAATGGGCTATCATAACATAGTTTGTGAATACATTAATACTCCTCAAGGAATATTTTGCATGGCTAGAGAATGCAGTGCACCTTAAATGGAGTGACAGATCTAATAAGTGTCTAATGAGGGGAAAACATGATAGAGAAACTGAAAAGACAAAGTATCTGGGTATAGCAATAGCAAAGACTGCTCTTTTTTTTTTTTTTTTTTTTGGTAATAAGATTA